ATGTGTCCTGAGTGAGAGAATAGAGCACCGAGATACCATACAAGATTTGGAATTTGGGGTGTCTAGGTGGGTAGGAGCAAGAAGGTGACTGTGGTACAGCATGGGCCTTGATGAGAAATGTGTGCAGCAGAGATTGAAGGAGTGTAAGGTGGCAGAGGGAAGATGATTGCACTTACCTGGTGAAGGGACGAAGATTATTGACCTTTTGCTCGCACTGCTGGGTGTACACAGTTCAGATCACACTGAACAAAGTGGCAAATTTGGTCCAGGCTGGCAGAGCCTGGTGATGCAACCTCCTCTCGCTATCCTGGGGAAGGACAATGACACTTTCTGTGCCATCCCATCCACCAGGTTTTCCAGATCCCTGTCCTTGAAACAGGTGCCAATTTGCCCTTGTGTGCCATGTCCAGGACTATTGTGCACAGTCATGTAGGTTAGCTCCTGAAAACAACTGCTTAACTGGCATTTTAAAAATAGTGCCAGAGTCAGGAATGCTGGCCTATCGTGGAAATCCCAGCAGTGATGCATACCTCTGGCAATGGCAAATGGTAGAATCAGGCCAGCATTGAACTAGAGGGGTACCAGTTTGGGCCAATAGTGTGAGAAAACTCACTAGGCCTCACAAAGAGAAACCCTTCCTGAAATTCGATGAAAATGACAGTTAGCCAAAATATCCCTGAGAGTTCTTTTTGTAGAGAAGATTGTAATTGGAGTTACAATGGCGAATACTGGCTGAAATCAACAGCGATTATTTTGCTCAGATGGAATAATTAATATGGTCCATGGTAAGTGTTGGGATATAACTTCCAACCAATGTTTTGATCAATGGAAAATGCACAATGAGGACACAAGTTATGTCATTACTGAGCGTTGCCTTTCTCTTATCCCACTGATCCAAAGGTTACAACATAACATTAATTGCTTTACACAGTGCCCAACATGGTCAACCAAATGCTTTCTCTATATTAGGCACAGAGCAAAAAAATACATGAACTAGGCTTCTTCAGTAAATAATAACGAATAACTTGTTATATACTGGAACTTATTCAATGAAGATGCAGAATCAGTTAAAATTTTTCTGTAAATAGCTCCAGTTACAATGTTCAGTCTGAAATTAACTTAGTTTCTAACCTTCAACTTCAGGCAACTCACCCTCGATTACAAATGTCAATGCAGATCCAAGCCAGTTAGTGAGACAGAACCCAAGACACCTTTCATTATGGATAGAATTTGTTAATTACAGTTTTACAGCTCCTTCCATTCACTAGTCCCACCTGTTCTGCTTTACATCTACCCAGTCAATGAGTGAATCAAGTAATCCCAATCAATTTCTTAACTACATGCTATATTAACATACCTACCTCTGCCTTCAACACATTCAATGACTCTACTTCTACCACTGTCTGGGAAACTGAGGTCCAATGATTCACAACCCTCACAGAAAACAGTTCTTTGCTCCATACAATAGGAGCAGGGAACATGTAATATATGTTGAAGAGCTGGGAAAGTGACAGCAGTCTCCTAAGGAAAAACATCACCTTCAGCATGATAGAGTGGTGTGGCATTGGGTGTTACATACTAGAAAAGATGTAATTGACATCCAGATGTAATAGGTGAGAGCTGGGGGATGCAGTGATTATTTATTGATCATGAATTTGCTTTTGTTTGAAAAGCAAACAGTTTGTGTTTACTCCCAGAACAAATGCGACTTATTTTATTTGTTTTCTTCTTTGCTTTTGCTTTTGTTGAATGGAACTTAATGTTTTCAACAGTTTGAAGGCTTTCCAGTAATATAATGTTCTCCTGCTCAACAGTGAGAAGATGTTAGGCTGTGCTGAACATTAGGAAATGAGCAGAACTTGCTTAGACAGGGTTCTAAGATGGGATGATGTTACAGATGGGAAACCTGGGTAATTGATTCTTGTAGCAGCAGTTATAATCTCAGTCGATCAGATAGATAAAATAGCAATACATATATGAATGTGAATTTCTGTGTGCAATGAACTGTCCTGTCTACAACCTGTGAAGTAGAAGCCTTCAGAGGCATTTCTTTTTTGTTCCCCTTCCTCTATGTGCACTATAAAGGCCAGCTCCTAGATGGCAGCATTTGGCCTGGTGCACAGTTGGTATTTAACTGTGGCCCCAGGGCCAACAATCTCGTGAGATCCCAACAGTGGCGAGTATTCAGGCATTGCCAAATGGACAGTAGCACAAGTAGGGTGCCAAAAGGCAAGGTACACACTTAATGAGACACACTGCAGTGAATTACTTGAGATAACTTGCTAGAGTTCAAGGAGAGAAGCCCTCCACAAAACTCTTACTATCTTTTTTTTTAATTTCTAGCTAGCTTTCTCCCATCCTCCAATTTCTCCTTCCTTCTTAATCTTTTAGTCACTCTTTGCTCTTCTTCACATTCTATCAAATCTTCTATCTGCCATCTACCATTTGCAGAATTATGTGCTTTATCTTTCAATTGGATACAATATTTAACTTCCTCAGTCAAGCACAATTTGTGTGTCCTTCCTATTCTTTCCTATTCACTGGAATGTATCCTCTCTGAGTATTCTGCAATATAGCTTCATATTTTTCCCACTGGTTAGTAGTTGATAGAATATATCCTGCAGTGTAATGATAGTATTTAAATGCAGAAAAATTGCAGAAAGCTTCAAGACAAATAGACTTGAGGGTAGTTTTCCATGAAACACAGAAAGCTAGCACATAGGTACAGCAGGTAATCAGGAAGGCTAATAGAACAGTTGCCCTTATTTCAAGGGAATAAAAGTAACTAAGTCTTATAGCAACCATACAAGATGCTGGTGAGACTATATTTGGAGTACTGTGAGCAGTTTTGGTCCCCTTATTTAAGGAAAGATAGGACATTGGAGGCAGTTCACTAGAATGATCCCTGGTTTGGAGGGATTATTTTATGAGCAAAGATTAAACAGGTTAGGGCTCTACTCACTGGAGTTTAGAAGAATGAGACGTAATCTCGTTGAAACAGATAGGATTCTTAAAGGACATAACAGGGTAAATGCTGAGAGGATGTTTCCCCTCATGGAAAAGTCTAGGACTAGAGGGCATAGTCTCAGAATAAAGAACTGTCAATGTAAGACTGAGATAAAGAGGAATTTCTTCACAGCACAGAGAGCTGTGGGGACACAATCATTGTGTATACTTAAGGCTGAGATAGATAGATTCTTGATCAATAGCGGAATTCAAGGGTTACAGAAAAAACACAGGAAAGTGGACACGAGGAATGTCGGATCAGCCACGATCCTTTTGAATGCCAGAGCAGGTTCAGGAGGCCTAACAGCCTATTCCTGTTCCTATTTCATATGGTCTTATGATATTTCTGTGTTTCTTAAGTCTAAGCAGTGGATTCATACTTTAACTCCTTTACAATAACCACTCTCTCTGTAATATTCCCCTTAATCAATACTATCTCACTTACCCCATCTTCCCTGAACACCTTATATCCAGAAATATGTAGTACCATGCCTATTGGAACTAGAACCAGATATCACTTTAACTTTAACAGGCACACAGATGCAGCTTTTGCCAACCAGAAAATGATGTTTACTTTGATCAACCACTGTTTGAGCGTTAGCAAAATTCTTGGGATTGGAGGATAAGAGTGAAAAACATTTTCTCCAAGGTTGAAACACAGTTCAGAGCTTCTGTTTTGTAATCTAAAATCTTGTAAGAGCATTTTCTCTAATATTTTGTCTGGATTAAGTTAATTTATAGGTAGTCACTTGGTCGAAGATTAGGTCTGTAGGAACAGCCCATTAATACAGTCATAGAGTCACAGAGTCATTGACTTGCCAGAGACTCATTGACCTTAAGCAGAAAGTCAACTGCCTTAAAAATTAACATAACTCAACATACAAAAATCAACATAATCAGATATTGAGATGAAATGCTGCTTTTTTTATTGACAATTTTAAAAGATACTACGAGCAAGGAATATGTGATACCATTAAAGGTATTTTTAGGATAATAAGGTTCGAAGCTTCAAACTACAGCTGGTTAATGTGCTCATTTTTGATTGGGTCTATAATGCAAAGAAATGGGCATTCAACCTTGTAATGCATGCATCTAATTGCCAGTGTAACGTCTGAGATTTTCACCTTGGATAGGTCATTCTGTCCACAAGATCCGAACTTCTGAGAATATTTGCACTGGTTGCAATTTTTAATTACTTTTATACTCAACTGACAAAATTAATTTACATATGAAAAGCTAAATAAGCTGACAACTACTTCACAAAAAGGAATAGTTTTTTTTTCTCCATGCTCTAGGACTCTAGCCAGAAGTCTTAAAAGGAAGAAACAAAACCCAGGAGCTTAAGTCCAGCTCAAATCATTATATTCAGAAGAAAACCACTTTAACAAACGTTACAATTCATAGGGAGCAAAGAGAACTTTTTCCATGCTAGCCAGAGTACGTGAAACGTAGAAATACAGAAAATAGGTGCAGGAGTAGACCACTCGGCTCTTGCATTCAATATGATAATGGCTGATCATCCAGCTTTGGCCTCAACTGCTTTCTGTGGCAGCGAATTCCACAGGCTCACCACTTTCTGGGTAAAGAAATTTCTTCTCATCTCAGTCCTAAGTAGCATACCTCATATCCTCCATCTGTGACTCTGGTTCTGAACTCCCTGGACATCAGGAAATCCTTCCAGCCTTTACCCTGTTAGAATTTTATAGGTTTCTTTGAGAACTCCATTATTCTTCTAAAATCCAAATAATATAGTTCTAACTGATCCAGTAAATCTTCATTGCACTCCCTCCATAGCCAGAACATTCTCAGCAAAGGAGACCAAAACTGCACACCATATTTGAGGTATCATCTCACCAAAGCCCTATACAGTTTCAGCAAGACATTGCTTCTCCCTCTTAAGGGCAACACACTACTTGCCTTCCTCACCGCCTGATGCACCTTTAGTGAAGGACAACTAAGTCCGATGTTTAAATAGAATGTAAGTAATAGTACCTCCTGAGAAGAGGCTCCCCTGTGACCAAAGTCATGTAATTTGAACTCCAGACTATCCAGCTTCCCTGATGTTTTGTGTAAATACAGAGCCAGAATCTTGTTAAATTCCTTGGATATGGTAACAATTGGTGATAGGATACCAGACCTGAACAAGAATAGCCTGTTGAGAGAAAGCATTTAAATTTTTTTCTGCTAGATTAATACTGCAGAAAGCCTCAGTCATAACGAAGACTAGTCCATTCATTTTAATTCACAGAATCACAAAGTTTGAATTTCATTACTGGTTTAAGAGTCAGTGTGTTAAATATTCAGCAAGTTTTCAATGTATCTGGAGTGCACAGAATGTGATAATGGAACACAAATAAAGTCATCATTGAACCCAGTCCCTTAAAGCCTAACATTATAAATGCAAATGGGATAATAGCCACTAGAGTTCCAACTTATCTCACCATTCATGCTTCCAAACTATAATATGTTTATAAGGGGCTGAAATTAGACTCAGAAGTCATTCCAGTCAGTTTAATGGCCTGAGCAGTAAAGAAAAGCAAAATTTGCCACTTTTAAAACTGATTTCCAGTCATCACTAACATTTCTAACATAGCCTGCTGCCTCTGCCTCTGAGTGGGATGCTACCACCATATTCTCCCGACGACCTTCCCCATTGTGGCACAGAGGTGAGGGTGAGGTTAAGAGCAGAAGAGGGACAGCGGTACCAAACCTGGGGCGAACACACGCTACCATTATACTGAATTCTGACAGGATCAGGCAGCGAGTTTGAATAAGAAGCAGCAAAAACAATCCTCAGTGTAGTTTGTCAGCCAAAAAACATTTTGAATCTGTATTCTCCACTGTTAAAAGAACATTTCCATGATGAATGATGCTTCCTTCAGGAATATCTTTAATACAAACAGGTAAATGTCCATTGTGTTTCTGAAGTAAAACATGATTTCAATGTACTTTCAGATAATGTGTTACAATTAAAGAGACTCATTCCGAATTTCATTGAATGTGCCAGCAATGCAAAGTCTATTTCACTTAACAAGGAGTGCACAAACGCACAATGAAAATAAAGTTTAAGTCAGATACAGGGAGATCAAGATTTAAAAAGATAAATCAATCTAAATCAGTTTTGCACACAGTTCCTCAGATTTTAGGCAATAATTTCGAATGGCAAGAAAACTTGTCCTCATGGAATGCTCCTACTGCAAAATGTGGAAAATCAGGGACAATTGCCGGAAGTATGTTCAGCTGCAGCTCCTGACTGATCGCATGGAGTATCTGGAGTTGTGAATGGAATCCCTGTGGAACATCCAGGCGGCTAAGAATGTCATGGACAGCATGTTTAGTGAGCTGGTCAGCCCACCAGTAAGGACTACACAGGCAGAGAAGTGGGTGAACACCAGGAAGATGAGTAAGTGTGGGCAGACAGTGCAGGAGTCTCCTGTGGCCATTCTTCTCTCAAACAGGCAGACCGTTTTGGATGGTGTTGCAGGGGGATGGTCTCTCAGGGGAAAGCAGCAGCAGCTGCCAGACCTGTGACACCATGATTAGCTCTGTTGTACAGCAGGCAGGGTCAAAGTATAGACAAGCAGTAGTGATAGTGGACTCTGTAGTCAGAGGCACAATTAGGAATTTCTATGGCTGCAAGCGAGACTTCAGAAGGGTGTGTTGCATCCCTGGTTCTATGGTTAAGGATGTCTGTGAGCCAGCATAGGATATTCTGAAGGGGGAAGGGTGAGCAGCCAAAGCTTGTGGTCCATATTGGTACAAATGATATAGGCAGAAAGAGAGATGAGGTGCTGCAGAGGGAGTTCATGCAGTTAGGTAGGAAATTGAAAAGCAGGGCTTCTAGAGTTGTAATCTCAGCATTACTTCCTGTGCCATGTTCTAGTGAGGCTAGGAATAGGAAGTTAATACAGTTAAGTACATGGCTAAAGAGCTGGTCTAGGAGGGAGGGCTTCAGATATGTGGATCACTGGAATGTCTTCCAGGGCAGGTGGGACCTGTACAAGAGGATGGGTTACACTTAAACTGGAGGGGCACCAGTATTGTGGCAGGGAGGTTTGCTTGTGCCACTCAGAAAGGTTTAAACTAATGTGGCATGGGCCTGGGAGCCAGAGCTGTAGGTCAGCCAGTAAAATGACTAAGGAGGAGTCAGAGAACAAGGCGAGTAAGGCTGAGAGGAGAACTGACAGGGAGAGGTTACTCAACACATCGGGACTGGCGTTCTGAGATGTATTTGTTTTAATGTGAAGTGTATGACAGATAATCCAGATAAATTTAGAGCCTGGATTAAAACATATAAATATGACATTGCAGCTATTACAGAGATTTGGTTGAGACTGAGGCAGACTGGCAGCTTAATGTTCCAGGATTTAGATGTTTCAGGTGAGATAGAGGTGGGGGATTTGTGTTACTGATAAGGTACTGATGGAGGGGTCATCCAGTGAGGCCATATGGGTAGTTCTCAGGAAAAGGAAGTGTGCAATTATTTTGATGGGATTGTACTACAAGCCTCCTAATAGCCAGCAGATGATAGAGGGACAGATATATGGTCAGATTATGGAAAAATGTGAAAATAACAGGGTTGTTGTGGTGGGTGATTTTAACTTCCCATATATTGATTGAGATTTGCTTGTGGCAGGGCATGGATGGGGTGTGGGGGGGGCGCGGGTTGTGGGGGGGAGTCTGTTAGGTGTGTCTAACAAGGGAGGGGACCATAGTAGATCTGGTATTGGGGAATGAGCAAGCCAGGTGCTCAAAGTTTTGGTTGGGTGTGGGGGTGTGTTTCAGGAACAGTGACCACAATGAGAAACTTTATTTACTTTCCACTGAGGAGCTATATGGTAGTTGATGTATACAAATATGCTGCCTGGTGTGCAGTAAATTAGCAAGAAGAGCACAGAGCAGAGAAACAGATTGCAGAAACAGCTTCAACAAAAGCTAAATGTCGTTTAATAGGTTTGCAGTTGCAGTCATAATCTTATTGGATGGAGTCACCATCTGTAGCAGCATACTTGCAGAAATTGCAGGGCTTCATCTATTCAGCTGAAGTTACTGAGGAACCGCAGGATATACTGATTCACGTTTAGAGGGATATTAGAAGTGCGTATCCTTAGATTTACATTATTGCTTGCCTACATTCTTCACATTTATATGTGACATAGACAGCTAAGATGAATTCCTGTACTGACTGCAGTTGTGGTCACCACACTTCTATAACTTTTTGGAATGTTGATAATATTGAAGGAATAAGGTGATTATGTTAATTAGATTGTAAAGCTAAATGACACAAGAATAGTTGACAGCCCATGATTTTGAGACTCAGTGCTGGCAGTGCTCTCAAATAATGGTTTTTCCAACTCTTTGGATTGGGAGATCCGCTTACACTGAAAATAACAGGAGAGAGTGCTGGCAGGAGTAGGAGGGATTTAGTCCTGTTAAACCCAGAACTACACATTTACATGAAATCCTGCTGAGACAAACAGCAGGGGTTCCTTTTGTTTTGTATGGCTTTCCATCACCTTCTTCCCCCACTCCATCACAGCCAGCCAAACTGAGAAGCTGGACTTGAGATAGCAGATCACAGGCAGCGAATATTAGGAAAAGAGTGAAGGGGATTGGGGAAGAGATGGGCAGGGCTCATGACTGCAGGATAAAAGCTGATTTCTTGGGTAGAATGGATGGCAGGAGGAAGCACTTCAACTCCTCTCAACCCAAAAGCAGTGCAAGAAAGGCACTTACTTGCCCGTTTCATCCACCTGACCCAAACCATCAACCCCTCACTCCAAACCTCGTCCCAATCTCCTCAGTTGGCAGGTTCCTAAGGCACAGAAAACACAGTCAATCCCCAGCATTATATTTGGAATATAAATAAAGGGTAGGGTGCAATATCGGTACACAGAGGAAAACGTCAGTAAAAAAGTAAGACTTGGAAATGATCATGTTTGCACTGGAGCTCCAATTTGTAGTGGACAAGACAAGTCTGACCACTATGTCTCATTTACTAATTTTACTGTTTTTTCCCTTTCATTGGTATAGGTCTTTTTTGCCAAATACAGAGCTTGTGAGAGGCTCATGTTACCTTGTTTTTGGGCAGATTCTGGGGGGAGGAGGAGGACGAGGAACGAAAGGTCCCATCTGCCCAGACCTGTCAACCAACCAGAAGCCTGCGGCTCTTCAATGCTAGACAATGCCACCAGGTGGCAGTGGTTGCTGCCAGTACTGCACCCACCTGAGGCCCAGGGTTGCTGAGGACCACATACCATAGGTGATGGATCATGGTGAAAAGTGGAGGGGGGAAGGATGTTCACATCAAGGGCAGGAAGATGGTTCTCAGCAGTGCTGGGTCCTTCAATCAGGCCTTAAATAGCTTTGAATGAGGTCCAGAGCTGATAAGGAACCCGGACAGAGTTTGCTTCTTGGTTTGCAACTGGCAATTCCCACTGAGTGGATATGAGTGATGAAAGGATAATGCTGTTAATTGTTCACTTAAAGGCCTTAGTTGGCAATGGGAATGGAAGGTTGTGTATGAGCTTTCCTGCCATGGACTTAATTGGGATTGAAGTAGGAAGGAAGTGGGTTCCCCATTCTCCACCCTTCTGCTTGATTAAAAGGTTTACCCCCATTCCCCTCCAATGCCAGACATGAAACATACCATGGGGCGGGCATTAAATTCTACCCAAAGCCTAAGATTTGCAGTTTAGTTACCTTAACAACCCACCTGCCTCCAGAGAGCAGATTAATCATGTGCCGCCAATTGCCTGTTCAACCCAGGAGCGGCTGTTCTGCTGGTGGGTTGGGGTCAGGCTGTAGGATTACATGCCATTATTCTGATAAAGAGAAGGGGGCTTATCCCTAGCATCATGACCAATATTTAAATCTCAATCAGCATCACAAAAACCAGATTATCTAATCCTAATCACATTATTGTTTGTGGGAGTTTACTGAGCACAAATTGTCTACTATGTTTCCTACATTCCAACAGTGACTACACTTCAGAAAGTATTTTAGTGGTTGTAAAATACTTTGGAACATCTGATGGTTGTGAAAGGAACTGCATAATTGGTAGTTCTTCCTTTTCCTTTTCAACTAATAATCCTATAGACTAACTCTGATCATAACTCTAAAACTGTTACCAGAATCCCCTTCTCTGCATCAACCAACTCCCCAACTAATGTTGCTTTTAAAAGGCACATCTCTCCTTCTGTCTCCTTGAACTATGGTTCACATTTACGGTCTATAAAAGGATCACAATTCTGAACTGAGAACTTCAGGCACGGCCAATTTGAAATCAAAGCAGGAAGTGCTGGAGAAACTCAGCAGCCCTGACAGCATCTTGGCGAGAGAACCTGCATTGATGTCAGAGTCCAAAATGATATTTCTTCAGAATGGAACCTATCTGTACTTGGTCTTTACATGTCACATAGTGACTGGAACCAAACCATAGGATCTCACAAAGACATAATAGACTCACTTCTTTCATTCCCTAAACTCAACACTGATATATCTAAACCCTTCCCTGGGTTTAGACTCAATAAAGGAGAGAATGATTGAAATGGGAGGAGGCCCAGTGCCTGTGCTGGCTCCTATAAATCACTTCCCTCCAAAAGATTATTACATATTTACGCTTTTTCCTTCAAAATAAAGTATCAAGCTTCTGATTGGTTGGCAGCTCCTGGTAGGCAAGGCTTGTCTCAATAATTTCCACACCTCCTACCCCTTTGCATCTACACTCACACTGGAACATTACAAAGACAGAGTCGAGAGCAAGACAAACATTGAAGGTTTGTTCTACTATCCTTAAAATCAATAATCTTCCATTCTCTCTTCCCCATCCACCATTGTTCTTCCAATCTTAATCTCTGCCCCACTGTTCCCCAACCTATTCCTATTTGTCCATAAAACACCCAGGTTCCATTCATCCATTTGCTGCG